TGTTCCTATGGGTAGGAGACTGGATCTCCTTCTCCTTATGGAGCTACCTTATGGAGCCTTCTCCTTCCCTCCTTATTATTGTTTTGTGCCTATCAGGTCAACATCAAGTGATAGTGATCTTATAAATGAGAGTTCACCAAACGATCCTGGTTGGCATTCGGTATTGTAGCTAGTTTCATAACCTAGATTAAATAGTCTTACTGAGACAACATAAATATCCCTCCAAGTCCACCTTAACACCCAGCTTGGAGCTACATAAGGGTTATGGATATTTGTGTAGTCTTACAATAAGGGTATGTAATCTCACTGATCTGTACTCTAGGTTATAAAACTAGCTACCATACAAAATGTCAGCCAGGATCCTTTGGAGACCTCTCATAGGGTCGCTATAAAATGAAGTTGACCTGATAGGCACAAAACAACAATAATAAGGAGGGAAGGAGCAAGCAGAAGTACAATGAATTTAGCATTTTAAAAAGCTTTTCAATGGTACTGTGGCTTTGGATGTTGGGTAAAGTTTCCAGAAAGGATTTGAGTCTGTCTTCTATCACTGGCAGACTCTGTGTTAGATTTGTTTTTTTTCACAAAAGTATATTTTGTGCTGGGAAGGGTCCCTCCCCAGTACTTTAAACTTAAAGAAAGTGGTCAACGTTATCACAGACATCTGGGATGTTCCTTTTTCTTTTTAAAAGCAACTGTATTAACTCTGCTGTTTGTTATTAGTTTTGGGTTTTGTCCAATAATCTATCCACTGAAAAAAATGAAAATTGGAAGCTGGCTCCAACCTGTCGCAGGGCAGAGGGCTTAATAACATTTGGTTCCATTAATTTCTCAGGCAGTCAAGCCAGAAGTCAAGTTAAGCAAAATCCCTCTTATTGTTGGGAAAAGGTAAGAGATGAATTTAATGTCCTCATTATGGGGCTTGAATGAAAATAAGGAAACAGATCCAGGAAGTGACAGAGAATTTATGCAATCTCTTCACCATTTTGTTAACTTTGTTAGATTTTTCTAATAGGTAGGATCCAGGAATCAATGTGTATTTTACCTTAAATGTCTTCTCCCACCTCCCTTTAAGGAGAACCATTTATAAGAGGAATCTATGCATGTTGCTTGCTCTAGGAAATGATTGCAGAATATTGTTGTGTGATGAGTCTTCCCTCCCATAAAAATGAAAAGGGGGTCTGGCAGCTAGCTAACCCCTTAAAATGAAGTTATTTATACAATAATCTTCCATGTCTATCTACAAAAGTTCTAAGGAGCTTACAAAATAACAAGAATCTCACATAAGGTTTGTAGCAACTGTTGAAAAAAAAAAAATAGAGGTGACAGTGAAAATGGCCTAATTAAAAACAGCTGGAATAAAACAATTAAATCTTTTTAAAATGAAATTTTGCCACAATCCTGGTCTGGCAGTAAGTACCTTTCATCTGAAATGGGACTTAATTCTGAATAGATGCACATCCTATACACATTTTTACCTTGCACCAAGACCCAGTCAATTCAGTTGACTTCTGATGAGACTGGTGTAGGATCACACTGTTCGGAAACAGCACAGTGAAATAAGCTTTACATTGGTTCAAGAAACTTAAAGGATCCAGGCTCATGTGCCAAGCAGTTCTGTAAGGCCAAAGTCATGGTGAAAAAGAGTGTGATGTGGGTCTCTCCCTGTTTTGGACTGGGAACTTTTATGTTGACCATAAAGAGAGCCAGCAAACTTCCCTGCTTTTAAAAATCTCAGGGCTTGTTTACCTGTGCTGCAGCATGGGACCACTGGTTCACCGTAGTTCAGCTATGGTTCAGTCTTTGGACTGGACCTCAGCTGAAGTCCAGCAGGAACATGCCGTTGAACCTCCATGCTGCTATAACCACCCAAGGATTGGCAGGAGATATGAGATCAACATCTGGTCCAGTGCTTGGAAATCTTCTATTTTTGTCTGCAAGTCTCAGAATCCCCCAGCCATCTTAACTATGGGAGTTGGAGTTCAAAAATAACATTTCCAGACAGCATCACTGTGCTAGGGCTCACTACATCGGATGCTGCTGAGTCCATTAAAAACAACATCATGTTATAATCGAAGAGGTCAACTGGGCATGTACATTGTTATAGATGCTCATATTTTTCCCCCTTTTAAAATATATTCTCACTTTCTACAAGAGAATGGTGTTGAGTTTCAAATAAATGTGCTGAGATCCAGGAGCAAAACTACATCTTATTGCTGGAGCAACAATAGTGCTATGATGTAAAATATGAAACTGAACATACTTAAAACTGCTGTGGTGACAATAATTAGTGTTGGGAAACATTTTCCCCTCTCTAATGTACCAGGAGTGAAGAAGCAGTTTTAAAGCATTGGAGTAGCAAGGGCTGGATCAGTCACTTCGTTTAATGCTCATAACCACAGAATCTTAGAAATTTCTTTTTTTCACAAAAAAGACAATTAAGACATTCAGCCAAGTAATCAGATCAATTCATTATATACACAATTTAAATGCAATTCCTGTTTAAACCTTTACTGTAATCTTTATGGTATCCATGGTATCTTTATCTTTATGGTACCTTTATCCATGGCCAGCTAGTAAAAGCTGTTGGATTGGCTATTATGTAAGGATCCATATTTCTATTTGCGGCAGGGTAAAGAAAAGGTACTATTTACTGGCAGAAAGAGAAAACAGAGGGGAGGGGATAGGTCTAGCTCTAATCTCCACTGCAAAAATAATGCAGTTTGACACTGCTTTAACTGTCATGGTTCAATGAGGGTGACCAAAATGGTGAAAGGTCTGGACATGATGCCTTATGTAGAGTGACTTAGGGAGCTGTGCATGTTCAGACTGGAGAAGAGAAGGTTAAGAAGAGAAGATACGATAGCCCTGGTTAAGTATTTGAAAGGGTGGCATGATGATGATGGAACAAGCTTGTTATCTGCTTCACCAGAGAATAGGACACAATGCAGTTAATTCAAACTACAGGAAAAGAGATTCCACCTCAACATTAGAAGGAACTTCCTGACAATAAGAGCTGTTTGACAGTAGAACACACTGCTTTGGAGTGTGGTGGAGTCTACTTCTTTGAGGTTTTTTAAAGAGAGTCTGGATGGCCATCTGTCCAAAGTGCTCTGACTATGTCTTCCTGCATGGCAGAGGGTTCGACTGGTTTCCCTTGAGTTTTCTTCCAACTCTTATGATTCTGTGATTTGTAGTTTTGTGAGATACAGTAAGCCCTCCATATCCACAGATTCTTTGTTCACGGATTCAAGCATCCATGGC